GTAGGAATTTGAGCAATAGTTACTCCACTAAATATTCAGGCGCTCGGAGCACTTGGGTGCATGCCAGACTCTGAGAGAATTAAGTTTGGGAATGACCTGAATTAATCAGCCATGGTCTTTATTTAATTTAGAGGGGCAAGTCTGTAGATTGTGTTAAGCCCTCGTATGCCCATAGAGGTTTATCGCATTGCCCTTCTTATATGTGCAGCATGCCGTAATCCCAAAAAAGCTGTGTTTCACACCAGTATCCCATCTTAGAGTCAGAATCTCTCAACTCATGGCATTCTTTTCTCTAGGCAGAGCAGGATAACGGACACCCTCTCCCGGCATTCGCTAATCTCCACATTGAGGTGCTTGATGAGAACAATCAGGCGCCGTATTTCCAGGTGGCCACTTATCATGGATTCATCTCGGAGTCTGCTCTGCTGGGCACAACTATCTCGAGCAGTGCCAATCTCTCCACCCCCCTCACCATTATCGCCCTGGATAACGACATCGAGGAGGTGAGGATTCTCTCTTTCTGTGCTCGTGCTCAGACGGCAATCATTTTCACACATCCTGAGGGATGTGTGTGTATAGAAATGTTCCTCTGAAGCTAACCAAAGCTCCTGCTCTATGGAGCATTTAGAAAAGCAAATTAAAATTGAAAACAGTATCAGAGATATGGTCTCGGAGGCTTGCACTTAGAGACTTATTGGGGAGGCGCTTATGCTGCGCTAATGTTCTCCTGAGAGTTCTCTCTTTGCAATTATCACTGTTTTATAGATGGCAAAGACAAAGTACTTAGTACACAGTGAACTCTGACTAACATCTCCTACTTTAAAGGGACAGTGCAGACAAAAATTTAAAAATCTATAATTTAGTCACCCTCAGGTAGTTCTAAATAACTGGAACACCAAAGAAGATATTTAGAAAAATGTTCATGCTGCTCGTTTCCATGCTACTTCTCTCTAGGCTGTACTAGTATTTTTTGTGCATTACTGGTCAAAAGTGTGGATTTATTTATTTATTTATTTTTATTATCTATCTATTTATTTATTTGGAAGAAGTCTCTTATGCTGACCAAGGCTGTATTTATTTGATCAAAAATACAGTAAAAACAGTAA